TTTAAAAAACTATTGAATTTGAGATTAAAAACACTTAAGACCTAGCCCCGGAGCATCGCCCGGGTCTAAGAGCTAGTGTAGCAATAACGAAATATTTGCCAAAAAATAATAATAATAAAAAATTTTTAGAAAAAAAGTTTAGATACACATCTATATTTATTGCAAACCATATATATTTTGCTTTGTTGATATATTAAAAATACATTAAATATAATTAGGCTTTTAAAAATTTATCCAAAGTAGAGGTTGGAACCGGTTTTAATAATTCGGGTTTATTACATGAATTTTGTGATATTTTCAAATTTATTAAAATTTAATTGGCTTAAATTCTTAAATATCACAAAATTCATGTGATAAACCTGAATTATTAAAACCAGTTCCAACCTCTAATCCAAAGCTATATTACAAGCCTCTTCAACCCTATTTAATACGCTTCCATCTTTTTCCAACTGTGTAAAGATATCATTTTCTGAAGACAAATTTTTTAGATCAGTATCTTTTGTTTTCTTTCGACCTTTAGATTCTTGATCACCTTCTACAAAATCCTTGATGTTCTGTTTTGTTAGTCGTATGATTAAAGAAGAAATGTTTAGTTGAACGTCTTGTTCAAGAAAAATTTAACAATAAAAATATTTTTGAAAAAACATATTAAGACAATGTTCATAATATCCGTGACCGCATGCAAGTACGATAGGGTTCTGAATTGAAATATTTAAAAGTATGCCGCAATAGTTACATTTATCTCTTAATGGTATATGATTACTAACTAAACCCTAATAGCATTTGTTTCTTGTTTGTCACGATGTTCAAACCTGCAAGATGAAATCGATATTCTCCTTTGGCCATCTGGATACTTTCGCTTTTTCTAAGATTCCTATAAACCTTTTCAAATGTTTGAAGTAAAAAACCCTTAGTCTTAGTTGTAAGTGGTAATAGACGATCTTTATTAGAATTGATATCATTTCATTTAGTAACAAAAACTTCCTTAAAGGTTTCCATAGCCTTTCTCATATTGGCTATTTTTGCCTTCTTTGAAAGTTGTGTAGCCAAATCCAATGGAAAGGATTGTCTTCGAATAATACTATGCATATTTTCGACAGGATAATCTGAAAATTTAACTAAGTGTTCGATTAGTACATTTAGTATTGGATGATTATTTTCTATCTAATAAAATACATCTGAAAGAAATATTAATAGCGCTTTGTTATAGTTGTGCCTATCAAATCACAAAAAAAGAACCCATGCCCAGAAAATACTCTCCAAGTATGACTCCTATTCACCTGACCGAAAGAAGACCGAGTAAATATCCATTTTTAACGGGATAGTGTTGTCCAGCAAGTCAAAAAAAAACAAGTATTCCAAATCTTTATAGCACTTTCCAAACTTATTAACTACAGTTGGCTTGATATCTTTCCATGTATTTCTTGCCAAGTCCATAAGAAGAAATACATGATATGGACTTGGAGTTTGTGAAAGATCCCTAGAAGCACAAAACAAATATTTGTACTCCATATTGAAAAAACTCCAAAAATTTGTTAGTATAGTACCGACCAAGTTAAGTTGCACGTGTAATGCACTAATTACTAGTATAAAGGACAATGCTATATCTAATATTTAAACAATTAATAATACAATATTTGTTAAATATCACTTTAAATAAATTAATAATAATTATATTCTAAAATTAAAACATACACGGAATGTTTGAATTATTCAGATCCCGTAAGCGAAGACTAATCGCTTTTCTTATAAATATTTGCCCAGGCCAATCTGCTACCACAGGTATAACATGATTATTCAAGTAGAACTCTAACATGTTAATGCTATTCACTCTTTCCAAAGCATTAACATACGTGCTTACAGACTTGAGCTTTTGCTTATAAAAATCAAACAGGATACAGTCTTTCATTTTACGTTCTTCTTCCCAAGCCTTGATTTGGTCATCGTATGAATATAAAGATAGTGCTTCTAACCTTGTATCAAATGGAATTCTGCAAGAAAAAATTTCATTAAAAGTAAATTCCATACGCTTTATATATTTTTGATCTAAATATTTTAAAATAATATTAAAATCTATTAGTAAAGAATTGTGAATTGAAATGCCATTTGATCTATAAAT